CACTCCCCCACCCCACTCCCCTACCCCACTCTCCCACCGGAAAACACAGACATGTCCTTATCTCCAACAACAAATATCGCTATTGTAAAAGAGCATAGTACTGTCATAAACTGACGTCAGTTTTCTTAAAGAAGGATACTCTCCGTGGAACAAACTTTGCTCGAATTTATCTGAATATTTGAAGAAAATAAACTAGTAACCTTGAGATCCCGAAAGTGCAATTTTGATTAAAATGGCAAGTTTTTAAACAATGTTTAAATTGGTTCAGAGGTGAATAAAATACATTATCCCACCTGTGCACATGAGGTTACATACACACATACTTATGTCATATTATATTGTATGGAACTAGCTGGGTACCCGTTCAATGAACGGACTCAAAAGAATCGATCGTCAAGTCATTGTGGGATCGGTGCGCACTGCTTTTGAACGGAAGCCTCACTTGTTTACAATTGCGTCTTATACGGGGTGCCCACTACGGCTGGATCGGGCCCATCGCCCGACTCGATCGCCTGAAACTGAAAACAAACACGTTTGTTTTTAAGCCGTAGTGGGCACCCCGTATTAGAAGACGGACTTTCCCAAGATTAGATCGAAACGAAACTAACGAAAAACTGAAAATTAAACTACAGTGACTTCAGGCTCCTTACTAATATAACTGTGCACCCTTTAGATGATTCTGAACCACCGTTAGGTTTTTTTCAAATTCGAAAGTTTTAGACGACCAAAGTGAGCAACTTTTAGAAATATAACAGAACTAGCTGGGCCCCCTTTCAAGGAAAGGAATGATCAGTGCATTAACATCAACTGAAAGGCATTGGCCTACTATATTTACACTCTACTGGAGTGGAGCAATAAATCTTGAGAGATGCAACCATTAGAAGTTCTAGATCTATACTCTCAAAGCAAAATGCACCTAGCGAAATATCCCTTACGACACTTCCGCTGGGACAGACAGCTACGCAGATTTCTTTCTGTTCTCAGGGGAATGATCACAAAGACCAAAGAAGGACGGGACATTTTTGTCAAATATGTTTTTTTTATATTCAGGACATGAAAAAACAACAACAGACTCTGTCATGGGGACCTATCTATCTTTTTGCAGGTACTTGCCGCCAACTTTCAACTCTGCAGCTGTCGTAGTTTTATGGGAAAAGTGACACATGTGTTTCCAAGTTGCCAAATATTTAATAGATATAGATGACTCACTACACGGGGAAATCAAGCGGTCGTCAACTTTTGGGCTTATGAAGTTACTGTTATCGTCTTAAAGCTTGGGCAGTTGTCTCATTTCTGATTTTAAAAAACACGTTTATTTAGAATAGAAGTTGAGAAGAAGAAGAAGAAGAAGAAGAAGAAGAAGAAGAAGAAGAAGAAGGAGAAGAAGAAGAAGAAGAAGAAGAAGAAGAAGAAGAAGAAGAAGAAGAAGAAGAAGAAGAAGAAGAAGAAGAAGAAGAAGAA